TTGCTATTGCTATTGCTATTGCTCTTCTGTAGGTGTGGCCTGCTTTCCGGGTCCACTGGTGGAACCTCTTCTAACCAGTTTGGTAGATTTGACGAACCGGTTCTACTGAATAGGTGCAAACTGGTAGGAACCCACCTCTGGGGCCAACACAAATCCTAAATTGTGAGAGAGAAGTGGGGAGAGGACAGGCTTAGGGACACTTTCCCAAAAATAGGTACTACAATTAAGAAGTAGTGCCTGTGAGGTACTTAACCACTGCCAACTTACCTCATGAAATACATCACCTTAGTGAACCCGATATGTAGTTTGTGTGATCCATTAGATTTTAAACTGTTGAGCTTTTAAACAATTTTGAACATGAGTAGAACATTTTCTGCGTTGGTTCAGCCCAATCTGAAATGATTAAAGCTACCTGCCTAAATCTTTTCAAGGACAATGTCCTCTGAAAGGGTCTACCATCCCTGCAAGTTGAATATTTCTCTTTTATAGTTTACGACAATCCAACTTTGGAATATTTTATATGAAATCCTGCTGTATTTCAGTCTCAAATATAAATTGAACTTACTCCTTTTACATCTTTAGGCACTTTAACTATCTCTATCTCTCCCTCCCTCCCTCCCTGTGTCTGAAGAACAAGGTGTCATAGTTAGAATGTCCAAATCACCTCCAGTTCAGTTGCTGACCCAATAATCCTTTTCTCAGTCCATAGTCAAGAGGGAGCAAATGCATAATTGGACTACATTTCTGTACAGATAGACAGACAGACAGATGTACATGTCTGTACCGTATGTGCATATGGATCTATCTCTGCAAAATAAAAGTAAATATTAAATCAACCACACTTTAAATCAGTGGATTTTTAAAGAATGATTTTTTTTCTCAAAACAATTATGTAACCTTCCTCATCAAGAGGATGACAAAGTAGAATTATTATTTTGGTTCGTCACACAATCAGCCAGATGTTCAGACTGGATCTGACATTTTTGCCCATATATTGAGTACTTCCCAAGGACCAATAATTGACAGGTGTGGATGTGTTAAAGATGTCATCATCTCAGGATGTAAGCTGTTCCAAGTAAAGCTGCCTTTTGCAATTGGCTGAGGGTGAATTTGTCAATGCTGATGGGGTTCAAGTTGTGCTCCAGTTTTCTTGGGATTGCGCCGTAGGCGTCTATTACTATTGGAAATACTTTTGGGTTTTTTTTGCACATTCATTCTATTTCTATTTGCAGATATTTGAATTTTGTTAACTTCTCCAGTTCTTTCTCTTCTATTCTGTGGTCTCCAGGAAGTGCCACGTCTACTATCAAGACTTTTTTTTAAAAAAAAATTATCAACAGTTGGTAAGTTTGGGGTGTTATGTGGAGGTGCCTGTCTATTCCAAGGTGGCGCAGTGGTTAAATGCAGCACTGCAGGCTACTGCTAGATCAGCAGTTCAGCGGTTCAAATCTCACCGGCTCAGGGTTGACTNGGAGGGAGGGAGGGGCATACAAAAAAATTGTACTTCAATGTTTTAATGATTGACGAATGATGAAATATTTGTGTTTTTTAAAAGAAATAAAACCTTTGGAACAGAAAAAAGAAAAAGAAAAAAAAAATGACACATGTCAACCAACATAATTTATGATAGTTAAACAAACCCCTTAGGACAGGGATGGGTAATCTGGTCCTCTGCCGCTGCTGAAGTGTCTCTCACCAAAATGAAAGATTGCAAAAATGAAGGGAATGATATCTCACTAGATTGTACCTTATGTACAGAACTGATGGGACTGGGGTAAGGAACAGCAACAGCCTGGCTAATCAGAATCAAGCCCATTACAATAATCAAAACACTTTGTCACTCATCTAAGAAAATGGGGGAAAGAGGAAGAGAAGTGAGAGAGATGTTTCTGGTTTTGTAAAAGACAAAATCATACTATAAGCTGATTGGGAAGGTGGATACATCTGTGATACTTGAAAAGTTAGAAAAAGTATGGAATAGATTAAGTCTCACTTGGTTTATTTGGTTACTCTGATCTTTGAGTAAACATGTCAGGGGAAAAGGAATGGAATATAATTTGGATGAAATAAAAATGCAGGTTGCTAGTTGATTCCATGGTCTTCACTCTCAGAGTACTGTAATAGTCTAGCAGATGAACCATATTCATATGGCATATTAGGGTGATGGCTGGTTTCTCACATCACATTGATCCACAAATTACCCAGCTCCATTGGAGCCTAGTCTACCCTGTGGTTGTCAGAATGGATATGATCTGTGTACAGACTGTTCTGTAAGGCACGTGGTCAAAAGAACTGTCCATGTTCTTGGCTACAATTGTCCTGGAGAGGTTGAAGGAACTCTGCAATGGCCTGCTGAGGCTGCACTTCTGCAACCATATGTTTAGGAAACAACATCACTCAATTCAATGGAATTCCCTTCTGAGTACAAGCAGACATGCAAGATAGCAGGGTAAAGGAAAGTAAACATATCTTGGGTCAGATATTTATGAAGTGTGTTATTTATTTTCCCCTGGACAGATCAAAACAGAGATTTTTATTTCAATGAGGCAATCTTCCAAGAAAGCTAAAGAGGACACGAAGAGTCAACGAGAGTTTAGTGAATAGAATACCCAAGCCAAGACATAAGTTCTTCAGGACTTGGATTTGGGGGGGAAAGGGAAGATTTGCAGATTTTTAAATAATTAATGGCATTTAACAAACAGTCCTCCTCCCAACGGATTGATTTTTCCAGCTCTGACAGAATCTGATCACAGCCAAGAGGGTCAGTTAAACCTCTGGCAAGGAAGCTAGAATCATTATTGGTATATATTGCCATCTAGTGAGGAGAAAAGTGCTTTGAAGAAACACTAGAAGACATGCACTCCAATGTGATCCTGAAAACTGTTCAGGAAGATGATTCTTGATGACTCCAATGGGTGTTTCAGTTCAAAGAAAATACATCCAGCTCAACCTTTTGAATGAAATCCTCTGATTTAAATCAGTTTGAGGGCCTTTCATTCAATCAGATACCTCAGAATCAGCCCAAAGAAATTTAGAGTTAATTTGGAGATTGGTTGGCTTTTCAGGATTTGATAAACAACATTGGGGAGGAGATGGGGATAATAAAATGGTTGAATTAGAATTTTTTACTTGGCAACACAATAGAACTCACAGTGAAGACAGAAAATCCCTAACCCAATAAATCATATTAAACATCCAGTCCTATTGCACCAGAGTGAACATGTTGAACATTACTCAGGCCCCGCAAGTCCATTGTACTACGTAGTTATGATGTTATTTCACATTCAGGAGTCTGACAGCCCAAGGATAGAAACTGTTCCTCAGCCTATTTGTATGGCTGGCTCTGCTTCTAGATCTGCTTCCCGATGGTAGGAGGGTAAAGAAGTGCCATCCAGGGTATGAGTATGATGAAACTGGCCTAAATACCCAGCCTTGGACTTTATTGGTTTGTTTATATCTTCCACAATTGTGTTACTTTCGACCATTTATAATAGCTGCAAGCAACACAAATATTTAAATAAAGTTCATGGTAGGAACAAAAATGTATTAACTATAAACAGCCTAAAAAGTATAATTGGATGTCTCCTCAGCACAGGCCTTCTAAAACAAGTAAGGTTTCAATAATTACTGGGGGCCAACCAGTGGTGGGTTTCAAAAATTGTTCGAACCTACTATGTGGGTGTGGCCTCCTTTGTGGGAGTGGCTTGCCACCTATGTGACTGGATGGGAGCGGCTTGCCACCCATGTGATCAGATATGAAGATGCCGATGACACTTGT